AAAATATGCTTGTTATCACCTGTGTGTAGTTCATTTACCACTTTATACTATTTTCGTGCGGGTCAGCGGGTTCACCGATATCTCGTTTCACGCAACAGCAATACCATGGTTCTCTGCCATGTAAAACTCGGTCGAAATTTATAAGCGCTGATGAAGTGAAATAATTGCTTGCCAAAGAGTGTAACACATCTTGTACAGAAAATCTCTTGCAACGGCTCGCTGTGTACTTCTAAAATTCATCAAAGCTTTATTTAAAGTCCCTAGATCTAGGATTTTGCGGCAAGCCTGCGATTTTATGGAATAGTGGTCACGTGAACGGGAAGTTCCGTGCTGCAATCTACTGGCTAAGTGACGAAACCAGTGCACTTTTACGATCGGAGCTCGCGATCGGAGTGGCGATTTTGGGAGAATTAAAAACCATATGAAAGGCGCTGAAATAAAAAATGCGCAAGGTTGATTCGATTTGGACTAAAGAGATCGAATTAGAGACCTGGTGCCAAATTTACAATGCGAAATGCATTTATGTAGTCAGAATGATGAATCCTTTAATTAAAGTAACGTTTGTTTATAATCTGATATAGTTAAATGGATGAAATTCAACATGTTTTGCCTTCATTTTTCTTCCTTATCTTATTGAAAATGTTGGAGACGTCCAAGAATGTGATTTTCTGGATGTTTATTTCTTTTGCTCTCTTCAGTTCCAGAACAATTCTTGAAAATCAGTCCATTGTCATAAAATACCTGGCGTTAACTTCTTCTATGGCAGTAGATAAATTAAGGGGCGATGCCTTACATACGTTAGTGCTAGATAGTAAGCAAACATCAATAACGGATAGTGGATTTTCCAAAACAGACAAATGTAAGTTACTAGTGTGCACAAAGAAACATCTATGATGTGAGGTGACGCAAAGAAAGTTGAGAATATATTCCAAGAGCAAGTAGAAAGTTTCAAACGTGAAAATTTCATTCACTTATACGCTTCATCTCAGAGTGAAAATAATATGCATCTATTCAATTGTATTTCTAGGCTGACTCCGAAGTAGGTATCTTCGGAGTCTTTGAAAAATGAAACCAAAACAAGTTGAGTGCTTATGTTTCTTCTAACCTTTTGACATGACTTTGAAAGGAATTCGTGAAAAGTCATAAATTTCATTATTTATGTAAGGAAAATGTTACTAATAAAAATAATTTAACTTCTCCAAACCTGCGACGAAAAATAGTGATAATATTCACTTCTATTTTTGGTAGGAAACCTTAAGTTAATTTTTAATCAATATGTACATGAAGGCTAAGGTCTGAATTTCTTCAATATGTGAATTAGCTTGTTAATATTATCCGAACCGGGTGCATTAAGTTCACAGTAGATACAGCTTTGAAGATTACATTGGAGTTTAACCTATGTGCACATTACCCAACACGAAGTGGCTAGGTTCAGTAAAAAAGGTTAGTGTCGAGAAAGAGTGTGTAATGAACAGGAATCAGTGAGAGAGAAGACGTGTAAAACTCCGTTTCTCTGTGCCACTCGGTAATTTCTATTTGTACGATAACACCTAACCTAATTTAATTTCATTGTAGACCTCGGTTGGGGATTTTGGTACGATTTTCCGAGTTGAGACGAGACTCTGATCGTCGACCTTTGCGATTTACACAAAACAATGATGAGTCTATTGAACGCATAATTTACAATGTATTTTTATACCGCAACATTTATCGAGTACAAATTCGCGTAAACACCTCCATTCTAATCTTACTTTAGCCTATATACTGTCAACATGAGCCGGATGAAGTTTGATAACTATCAGATCATGTTATTCATACAGCATTATACCGATCGACTGGCTAATGGGCGAATTAGCCTCTTTTACTTTAGGACTAATGTGTAGGATATCCGCGACCTACCTGCAAACCTCGACTATTATTGCTTTCGTTTCTATTAGAAACATTTTATTTCTTTATCTAGTGATTTAGAAAACTTGAATTCACATGTCAGAATTTTATTGTATAAAAGATTGGGCGCATTGCAATGCGTCTATTTATTTGCACACAACTGACAAATTAAATAAAACTATGAAATACCTTTAGGTTTAAACGTTATAGAAATTAACGATTTAAGAAAGATTTAAAGGATACAGGACTAGTTAACATTGTGGAAATGGATAAAATAATGTCGCTCAAAAAACAATGTATTTCGTAATGCTTAGGCATCTAACGTTACTTTAGCGGTTGAATTTTATCATACGTGAATAAAATCTCATTTTAGTGGCCTAGCTGATTCAATAAAAGCGCTTACTGAATTACCTAGTGAGGATATTTGCAATTAATGCAACTTAAGGATGTATTTGACAATTTTATGTTACAAACTAATTCAACAATAAATGCTATAATTGCCAACGTCATTCCCAGAAACCACATCGAAAAGGGTTCAAACATATGCCACAATTGCAAAGGTTGCACTGATGGAGCTGGATCTCCTAATGCCAATAGTCTCCACTTTCTCAATATCTTCATGTCTTTAATTCCCATTTCATTAAGTTTCTGTGATACACCTGATTCTACAACTCGTTGCAACAAGGTGCTAAAATGGTCAGTCAGCGGCCAGCCCTTCCGCACAGTAAACGCTAAGAAAGCTGGTGACAAAACGCACTCTCTTACTCTGTGGAACTGATAATATCCATCAACAAAACTTTGTGGAAACCGTTGCAATACATATAATCCCAAATCATTGGAAAGAACTGCTGCATCACGCGATCTTGCTGCTGAATACAGAACGTTTCTCCAGTCTCTCGCACTGTGTACTAAACTCACTTTTTGGGACAAAGCTATTACAACACGATCGGATTTCTTGAAGTATTTCACATGGTGGTTTGTCACCGGTGTTGCATACACTACGTTGCACTTTTTGTTCACATCTTCTAAGGAGTCTATTTCGGTACCTCGTCCTGACACTGTCAGAAAACTCATGAAACATCCACCAAATCCGTTCAACATGATAACACTAAAAGCACTAAGCCATATCATTAACTTTCGGTAACGGCTATCGAAAATTCCTGTGATAAAAGTGCGCACTGTCGCAAGGAAAGCTGTGTCCCATGAATTACCAGATATAGTACGATACGCAATGGCGAAGAGAAGTATTGAAATAGCAGTAGCTAGCCAAGTGTAAAATGAAAAAGAATGTAGGACACTAAGGTGACTGATTTGCGCCCTCGGGGCTAAAAGACACATATCGTTTTGGACATGAGGATACAGATAGTCGATGTCGCTGAGGCCCATCTGATGATATCTTGATCTACCGTATATATCAATGCGTCCTTCAACAAGGTCGTGAATACCTCCCACGTACGATCCATTGGACAGAACCTCCCCTTCACTCACGGGCACACAGCCATCCCTGTTGCCAGTATGTACGGCAAGCACAAAGAGCACTCGAGCATCGAGTCCGTATGGTTTCCACTCTGGAAAGCAAACGCTATGAGACAGCGGTGTTCCTTTCGGCATGCCAAAACGTACTCCTACTACTTGCTCTGTTGATTCCGATTTAAATATCCGGCTCCCATTCTCTGCTCGTAGTTGTCGAAAAATAGCATAAGGTTCCGCAAAACTCTTAGAGGACAAAAACTTGACCATAATGGCAATTGTCCAAAACACACCAGACATTATGTTAACCTTGATGGAAAACTTGTTCGTGACTAGAAAAATTAACGAATTTGATTAGACAAACTTTCTTCCGTCAATAAAACAAACTCTCCGTGTCCTCTATTCCATAACTGTTAGCTGCATAACACTATGGATGATGAATTAACAATCCTTTAAGAAGATACGAGACATGTTTTAGTAAGAACATTGATCAAATAAAGAGCTTTTAAAAGTCTCTCACGACTGTTGGTAATGACAGTTAATGCATGCAAAGTGAAAGCTTTCACGTGTAGCATTTTATCTATTATTAATCTCGATAATTAACATCAGCTTTCGTGAGGTCACGGTATTCCGGTTGTAGCACCGACAATACAATCTCTTGAAGAGAACATGGTTTTCGTGTACGTGCGTTTCAAATGACGAGCTACTAGGGATTTCATTTAGATAATTTACAGAAAAGTGTCTGTCGAATTAGAATTAATATATATTATACGAGTTTGGCCACAGAATTCCGTTTGACAAAAAAACGGTTTATAAAAAAGTTCGGAAAAAACAACATTGAATAACATTATAGAAAGTTTTATTTTCGTCAACGGCAGTTAGCTGAGGGAAGTTTCGGGTATATAAGTATTTCCCATCTTCAGGCTACAATGTATATCAATAATAATAATAATAATAATAATATGATTAAGTATAAATAACAAGTTACTGGCATTAATGGTATGATTACAAACAATACCACTCGATACGAAATAAAATGTGAAAATTCACCATTTTGATCATTATCTATTTATTGTAATGATCTTTTGTTGTTCAAATAGTAGCAATATTCTGTACTTTTATTACCAATATTTCGTTGTTTTATTTTTACATAACCGTTTTTTTGCTGACCATAAATTTCTTCTGAACTCTTCATACGGCTGGTGTTAATGGAAGAAACCACGAAAAAACTACCGATCGGAGAAACCGTGCGAACCTAGAATTTTCCTCGAGACAGCTGTTGAATTCGACCTATCTAGCTATTGTCGAAAATCCTGACACCGTTGGGACTTGAACCCTGGCATCTTGTGAGAATAGGCACTGCAGTGACATAAATTGATGTTCTGAGATATCGAAGCCGGCGGTAGTCTACTACATGTCAGTAAGAGCTGATAAAAGGCAAGGAAGAGGAAGGAAAGATCGCGCATAGTCCGTGGCCCGTTTGTTACGGTACTGCTCGGGCATTGACCTGCTGTTGATTGAAAGCAGATAAAACACCGCAAACTACCAATCACATCTACCAAAAGAGACTGTTGAAAAATGTGAAATAGAAATGATCGATTGTGTCATTATAAAATGTCAATACGTAATTTTCTTTTTTGCAGAAACCCGACGCCTATGGACGGCGATCAGCCAACATTACAGTGGCCACCTTATACCGCTGACAAGGAAACCTACATGGAAATGGGCACGGAGTTCATCATCAAAGAGCACGTGCTAGGAGATCGAATTGCTCTTTGGCGACGACTGTCCAGTAAGTCGGAGGCAGCGGGCAGCGAGTAGGTCAGCTGCGTTATCGACTCTTAACGTGCACTGCATGGCACCGTATCGCCTACACGCTACGATGTAATTCGCACACAACAATGGTTTTGGTGCATTATCACACCTTCCTACACGTAGATGCACGCGAAGGCATATAAAACACGAATAACACGAGTGATCCTAATGTTTCCTCCCTGCACATCAGATTCTTCAATAATCCTCAACAAAGTACGAAGTCCCTTAACCAATCCCAACTGGCAAACAAAGTGTATTAAGAAAACACTTTCGTATTAAAAATGCAGAAATTTGGAATTAATATTAATTTATTTAGTTAGTTTATTATTAATATACATTAATAAGTATTGGAAAGTGGTAGCCGAATCTTAATTTCATATTCATCATAGCTGTACCGCCCTAAATATTCTATTAAAAATTCCACTGCACATGCCTTCATAGAATGTGTCCCTCCCCACTTAACTATTTTGTCTCTTAGCCACATTTTATCTCACAATGCATTGGCATAATTATAAATATAAAATAATAATCATAACAATAATAATCGTAATAACAATAATATCTTAAACTACCTCTGATATGCCCGTAAAATATCAAAAAGTGTAGTAAAGAAAACGCGAAAGAACTATAAAATAGCAGTAAATTAAAAAACAGTATTATAATGTTGTGAGTGAAAAATTTGACAGCTCTCTCCACTATCGAGAAGTAAAAACTCCAAAATGAAAAAATATGTTTATAATAACAAGCTATTATTAAAAACCGAATAATATAAAACAATGATCACCTTGAGACATTCCTGGAAGTCATTCCCATTTACTGGCAGTCTGTTTCAAGAAATGGAATTCCAAAATCATAATATAATCCAAAACTCAATACTAGCATTAAGCCCGGTAGAAATACAAAAACTTCCGTTCCATTCCAACATCCATCGCCGGTTCACTGCCGAAAATCTGAGAAGAACCATAATATCCTGATGAAAGTATCGCAACTCACTATGCTGAAAGCTGAGAACTGAAAACATACACAGAATGGTACCACTGCATATCATTGCGGAAGATTTACATCGCGCATTAAACAGATATTCAAGTGCCAACCATGAGCAAAATTTGTTGTTTTTTAAATATTATATTCTGGCGCCTTTTTCGCATATGCGTCTCTAAGCTATCTTTTGTCCATTGGGCATCGAGCGTGTGACTACATATAAACACGCTTAATGGCCAATATGAATATGTATTTATTTATGCATGTACACGTCGTAGAATATTACAAAGAGGTTATACAAGACCCTAAAAAGCCCTGATTTTGTGGATGGAGACTAGACATTATTGAAAAAATACCAAAATCCTAATAGTCAGGGAATATTCCGTCCAATTACTTTTATTTTGGGCAATTTTGTAAGTACGATTGATATCTTGATAAGTAAGATTTCTGTGTATATGAGAGAAAACAGTATTATGAGTCAAGACCGAAAGAAGTGCTACACTAGATCATAAGATATAAGATAACAGAATCTCAATCTATTTATAGGAGGACCGCAAACATGACCTACATTGATTACATAAAATCAATACATTTACGTCCCCGTATGTGTGTTTGAAAAATAGATATTTCATGGCCTATACCAAAGATCCAAAAATCCATTAATTTACGAGGTCATAGTCAACATAGATTACCGTTCGACATCTAATGGCACCATTTCAAATTCCTAATAATCAATTAAGACGTCAAAGAATTTAAGATGACTCAATCAGTGCACTATGGTTCAGCGTGGCATTCAGTGTATCACTTCAGAAAATAATAGTTATAAAATAACATTAGCGAAAGAAAACCACACGATAAAACACCTTATGACTACGATTTAAAAACGAAGTTGCAGCAAAGTATTTTTGGAAATTGTCTTCGATAAATATGAATCCATTAATTTCGAACAGAGCTGTAAAAAAGGAATTGTGGACAGAATGCTCCAAGTAACTTGCTGCAACTGTCCTCAGGGCCAATCGCTATCACTAAATTAGAGCCGATTGCACCCGAACCTTCTCCACCTCTCCCCGCTGTAGGTCTAACTCGCCAAGCGGCGAGCCATACACTTGGCTGACAAATAAAGGCTGGGCCAAGGAACGTTAAGTGAGCCGCCCATTTCAGCAGTCCTAATTGAGAAGGAAGAATTATTGTTACATCTGAAGGATACGCTGGTACATCCGACGTACGTGGTTCACTAGCATCATAAAGCTGATTCAATATACGGTATTTTTAGGAAGATTTCTGAAGCTGAAAAGTCTTAATCACATTAATTTCAAAAGTAGGGATGAATGATATATTCGTTTTGCCCAGACGAAGATTAGAATTTCTTATTCTGAACTCAGTTGTATTGCAGAAACCCAGTTGTAAGCAACAATACTTGTCTTTTCAACTGACAAGTAAATCATAAGTTTATTAAAAAGTTTGCAACTGGCTAAGAGAACAAGACTAATCAAAACACAAGACAATATCGCATTAAGCATCACAGAGCACCAATAGGATTTCTTCTACTTCCCTTGGTAAAATGGGCATTGTAGACATCCCAAATCTCTTTAGGAAACAAATTAGTGAATACAAAAATAAGTGGTTCGAATCAAAAGCCAATACGCATATGTGTAATTTTCCATGCGCGTAATTTTGAAATGGGGTTACTTGCCCCAAGCTCGGACTAAAAATAGGGCATGTTCTCTTTTGATTTCGAAACACAAAACTACTTTCTTCTACTTCAACTTAACTGTTGTAAGTTATTTCTGTTGCTTGAAGAAATGAACTATTCATATGTAATACAAGCAGAGGATTTGCTTTGAAAGAAAGAGGCTCCTGTGAATCTACTTCCAAATCTGATTTTCTCTGGATACACCTGAAGTACTGCAATGTTGTTCTGTGCATAAATTATATTTTTATTGTAGTATTTGGGAAGACTGTTTCTATTAATATACTTAATTTATTGCGGTGTTTCTCGAGAATACTTTATTAGTGGTTCTTCAGCACAGCGTGCTAACTTTTTGAAAAACATTTTCTGGGGTTTGTTCTGCAACATGTTTGCTACTCTAGGTCTCTAGTTATCAGCTGCAAAAAGGCTGCTGTCCAAACCAAATAGTTTCCAAGACGTAGCATGCACACTGTTCAATACAAATAAACTTGTCTCGTATAACACCACAGTAAATTAAATATTTTAACAGACACAGTGTTAACGAAAACTCCATCAACACAGTAAATTATAGTTATATACATCAGTTCGTTACGTATCGAAAACGTCATTGATGTTGCTATTCGATAACCCAACACATAGTCGTTATTTCATGGAGGGTGACCTCTTCCTTGGAGCGTTACTGTCGCATGACAACTGAATCGTATGCAGTTACGCATTGCATTTAAGAATTTAGACGGTACGCGCATTACGAAAATGGGCGGAATAATAGTAAAATATTCACATTTGTGTCAAAATCGAAATTATTTAATTTTTTCGGTATTTTTTCGACTTCCTAGGTTTTTAGCTCTACCATAAGCACCTTGTCCGTGGACGGAGGCGACATGCTTTTCTTTCGATTTCTGCGCACATTGGAAATTTGTAGTATACATGTAGTTCAATATACCATTTCACAGTTAAATTTGGTTTTCAGAAAAGTTTTGCAATATGTTTTATGGCTGTATGTTGACTTTAAATTGTTAATGTTTTGATGACTATTGCTTGTTGCTATGTCTGTGTGTGTGTTCTCTTTCTAAGAGTATTATTTAATTTGCTAAGCAGTTATGCACCTGTTTCATGCATTGTATTTAGTAATCTGTAGTTTTCAAGATGCTTATAATAATTAAAATTATTTTTTACTCCGTTTAACTGTATTAACACTTTTCTATGATAATTTTCTATTGTCATGACTTGTTTTTGTGGCAATTGTTTTTCGACATGTTTCTGTTCACATTTTGTATTTTTTAAAGTATTGTGATTTTGTTTATGGCGCAGCAACTATGATTTGTATAGTTAATAAACAAGAAATAAAATAATACAATCTTCTATATAGGTAATAATTTAACAATAAATAGACAGAAATAACCAAAGTTTGACTTATAAACTTTTAGGTCCCTTAACGCACTCCAAATTAATTAGTAATTTAAAAGAAGTAATCCCAAATTTATAATATAATTTTATATTTTTCCCGAGGTACCGAAACGTCGTTCAGTCTTTTTTTCGCCAGAAATCAAGTCCTGGAAATAACTAGTACTAAGATACTAATTTATTTTTAAATTTACTGATACACAAGTACAAAAGCTTCTAGATTATAGAAGGCCAACTCTTAAACGCCCCAATTTTTGAGTTTCCTCAAAAAAATTTTCCATCGTCTGTTTTATGTCCTCTTGCCTAAATGTTCTTGATGTGATCCACTGTGTTGTTCTGTTGACCCGCAATTGTGAGACCCCAATTGTCTCTCTTAACATCTTAGAGAACCTTCAGAAGGCTCACACGCCTCAATTACCAAAATATTTTTATTAGAAAGCCGTGTTGGAAATAAGGAGGAGTTGGAAGGAATGTCAAATAACTACCAGCTTATAGTCTTTCAGAAATATTTTGGAAGGATGGCATGTTGCATCAATCCAAGGAGGGCAATATACACGCGGTGAGGATCTACACAAGGGACATTTATGATCTTTTTCAACTGCTATGGTCATATAACGACGGTCATATAATATAATTTAACAATGGTTTTATAACTTTGGGGCAATGGTTGAAGAACACACATACGGACACACATAAGTACCCATGACTGGAGCGAGATTCACACCAGTGATTCTTGAAGCCAGGGCAGTAACGGCTTGAGCGACATGGACTTTCCAGGCTGGACTTTTCTATAGTATCAAATTTCAACATTTACTAAACTGATGTTGAATTTTTCCATATGACAGTGAAATTAAATCATATTCTATCATTTAAAACAGTAATATTTACATTATATAGTGTTAAATATATAGTATCTTTGTTTATTTACATTCCATGCACGTTGTGAAGAATACGGCGGCGGTGCTGAAATCATACTCCCGTGACTAAACTGACAACTGCAACATTAATGTCTGAATATGCCATCGTATCAGAGTATTTACAAATATTCCGCGGCAAATGACGATGGAGCAAAGGGTATATGTGATATTCAATCACAAAACAATATCTCTGAATTTTTTAACAGTAAGCAAAGAAGAAATGCGTAAATACTCTCTATTACATAGACAAACATTTCCACATTACACAGTAACATAAAGGTTTAAGCTATTTTTATCGAGAACTTCTTAATTATGTTTTGCTTTACAGGAAACGCATAACTCAGAAAGGCACGTATAACTCTCACCTTATGCAATTCGCAGTGGAAAATATTGTATAATGAGAAAATTGTAAACACGGCTTATGAGAATTATTTTTTAGTAGTCCTTAGAATAAGATACTTAAAGCCGAATAATGTGTATCTTCACGTCCATTGTTCTCTACTAACAAAAGTATCGATCAAGTATCTCATAAAATCAAATTTTGTGCACAAACGTTTCGATGTGCACCTACAAATGCAAAAACCTTCCAATCATAAGAATTCAATTTTTATAAGAACATTTCAATTTGTAAAAATGATTTGTGTGTTTCTCATTATATGTTTTAATTTATCTTGTATCTTATACATCTTATGGTAATGTTCAATAAAAAACACACCAAACAATTAAGAACATTCAGAAACTTGTTAAATATGCCCAAATAAGCGCAACAATATATGAAGATTAAGGCTTTAAGCCTTTACAAATTATGATTAATAATGTTTATTTGCAGAACGTGCATTGGCCTAATATCTTGACCTATTGATGAATTTTATCATAATTAGACAGAAATAAAATATTTCTGCACACGTTTAATAGTTTACATGTAATTTGTAAACGCACATGTTAGAGCGACAATACATGGCCGCGGGTTTAAAGACACGACCTGAATTGAAACACACAGAACTCCGAATAACACTGGTGTTTTTTTTGTTGTTGTTTTTTACAAACTAGTGGTGCTACACAGGGCCATATTTTCTGGCACTATTGAACAGCATTTTCTAACATTTGAAATATTTTCACATTGTTGCGCTAACTCTGTACCGCTCGGCTATTATTTATGAATTCCGTATCATTTCAACCTATATCACAAACAAAGTGGATGTGTGCTATCTGCATCATCTTATCGATAGTCCAGAGCGAGCAGAAAGCATGTTCTGTTCTTTTACTAAATGAAGACACAAAGGTAGTTAATTAATTCATTATACACAGAAAAGCGAGATATTATTTCACGCAAGTTTGCTTGTAACAACCAGCGCGGATCAGCTGCATGAGCCTCGTTTG